TTTCAAAATCGATAAAAAGCGAAATTACTCTGAAATGGTTGAGAATCGGACCATGGTCAATATGAACTTTTTTGTTCATTTTAGGGTCAAGAATCTACTGGTGAAGTTTGTAGCACGAGTAGCAAGTCACTCTCAAACATTAGCAATCCTTGAACCACCATTTTTTCTCTTTTTGTCATCAACATCTTGGTCTCACAACCACTAAATAAGAAAATGACGAGTGCGTTGGAAGCGTTATTAAATCAGGTAGTTTTCCTCAAATTTGCTGCCTTCTGAGACTAAAATTAGAAACTCTGGATTACTTTATACACTTTCCGATTTACACAATTTTCCACTCTTTTTGTAGTTCTGGCTGAAATAAAACACAAAAAATTAGCCCAAACATTTTGCCACCGTCATCTTCTTATTGAAAAATTAACGGGAATTTCAACGGTGCTATTAGATTTTCAGAGAAATGTTTAGATTAAAAGATATCACGATTTTCCGACGCCAGGACGTGATATCTTTCAAAATCGATAAAAAGCGAAATTACTCTGAAATGGTTGAGAATCGGACCATGGACAATATGAACTTTTTTGTTCATTTTAGGGTGAAGAATCTACTGGAGAAGTTTGTAGCACGAGTAGCAATTCACCCTGTATAGTCGCATTTGGACCATTGTGTGCTCTTTGACTAGATTCTTCGATCGTAGTTGTGGTTTTTTTGTGTTAATGGTCTAGTTGTTTTTGAAAAAATGTTTTGTTTTTTCTCGTAGACAGAGGGATGTCGATGGAGACCGACTATTTATTTTAAATTTCACCTAATCAACTTTACTCCAAAAGAACTAGAGCATTAACACAAAAAAAACCACAACTACGATCAAAGAATCTAGTCAAAGAGCACACAATGGTCCAAATGCGACTATATGTCGCGAAAGCTCGTTGAATTGTTTTCATAAATTTGTAACTGCATTCAAGACCATAATCCTGATCGTTTTCAACATTGAAAAAACTGGTCGATCCTTTCCTTAACATTCAATGAATATTAAACCAGATAACTTGGTGGGAATAAAAGTGAAACGTTCAAGAATTTTTTTCTTACATCATGACCAAGACAAAATGTTCACTTATCAAAACGCACATAAAAGCTGAAAATGTTCAATGTTTTAAATACGAAACGCCGTTTTTATAAGAGAAATATCAACTTACAATCGGCCAGAGTCGGAATGTAACAAGGAGAGGCCTTGCAAGTGGAAAAGATGGGCACTCGATCATGTTTAGCATTTCGAATTGTAATCTTCAGATCTCCCGTCCCCCTTTTCTCCCCTTTGCTGTTCCTTGATCCGATCCTGGCCAATTTAATTAGCAATTCTAAAATTTTATCTTACAGGATCTTATTTGTTTCTATTCCGGCTCTTTCCTCTTCGCCGGAGCCCATTACAAATTCTTAAGCTCTCTGAGAGATTTTAATCCTTGTTTAGGTGACTTCGTAATCTGTACTAATGGAGACGAATGGGTCGAAGGAACAGATTTTTTTAAAGAGTGACAAAGATTTGGACAAAATACTTTCGTTTCTATTTGTATGTAGTTATTTATGTGGTTGAGTAATCATTTTAGTTTGTGTACGTGCTGCTAATGTGTGTGCTTTGGTATTATACAAATATTTATTTCATACAGTTTCCTTTCATTCTTTTTTGATTACTTATTTATTTAAGCTCAAATCTGCTTACACGTATGCCAGTCGACTGGAAATTCAATGATTTGTGATTTACAATAAATGAGCGGCATGCCTCGAGAATCACTCACCACGGACGTTGGCAGTAGGGGTTACTGGAGTATTTAATCTTTCTCCATTACCCTTTATACCTATTATATAACTAACCTAATTGATGAAGTACTCAATAGTCCGCTATTGGCTCTCTCACGCTACACATTCACGCTAATAAATACACTCAGTCGCAGCATACTCAAAGAAACACAAGACGAGATATCCGTAAAGTACTCTATGCAGTAAAAAGGCTTTGTGTTCTCTCCAAATTGGACAGGGGTCCCAGATACTCGCTGCCGTGCTCAAGCTGAATTCTCATATCTGGTTTCATACCTACATGCTCTCTATAAGGAGCCAAGGAATGATACCTTTCAAGTGTTTGCTTTGGGAACTTGTAAAAAGTCTTATTAATGAAGAGCTTTAGATAATAATTGATACCAAACAATAGGCCAATATTGGTCGCGTTGCGCAAGGCCATAAAAGGCCGATATAAAACTAAAAACCTAAAAATAATATAAAAGCTCCTTTATATAATTACGGTTTAAAATATATGCCTATATATAATGGGTTGAATTAAAATTTCACAAACCATAAATTATGCTGTAGGTAGTGTTACTTGAATTATTCTTATCTTTATGTAAGTGTATTTTTTGTACGTTCTGTGGCTTTATGGGTGTTGTAATTTAGAATAATAAATATAGTAGAATATCATATTGAATTAAAAAATGAAAATTAATTTTTCCAGATATTGATCATTTATATAATTTTGTAAAGAATTTCGGGTTACTAAAAAGAGCCGAACTAACAGAGCTTTTAATAAAATTGATTTTATAGATTAATCTTCATAATGTAACTGAATTATCTCTTCTTCGTTTTATTGATTGTGGTCGGAAATTTTTTTTCCAGTAAAATGTTGCTTTATTTTTAGAGAAAAAGCGAAAGTTGAACTTGAACTTGGACAATAACAACAAACGACTCGGCATTCTTCCAATTAAGGATTCGTCTCTCATTAAAAACTAGTTTTGTGGAGCGTCAGACAAAACGCGCTGTACATTTAAAAAGCAATCCCGGAGCAAGCGATTTAAGAGTTTTGCCATTATAAAGTCCCAATGTTTTTATTTTGTGCCTCCTGCCTCTCCTGGGACAATTAGAAGGAAACCGGCGGTTTTAGGACGTCTTCAGAAGGAGATTCCAGTGGCGATTAACTGTCATTACGAACGAGTCCATTAGTTGAAAGCTTCGTCTCTTTTTCCCCTCCGATTTACAATGCAATTGTAATTACCGGACCCATTACATCGTGTAATATACGTGAATTAAAAGCTTAACCACAGGATTCTTCTGGCCGAGCTAATGAAAACGCGAATGACGAATGTAAAATAAATAATTGCCACCTAGTGATTTTCCTTCTTTCACTCGTGGCCTATAGCGAGGTTTTTTAATTTGTAATTTTGTATAATTAATGGGTTAAAATTGTAGAACACAAAGATTGCGGTTATCATTTATGCAAAACATAATTTATTGCTTAAAGATAACCATAATCGAACTTTTCGTACATGAGAAATTAAATACTCTGTCCTCTATAAAAATTAAATTGATATTGATGACAGACGATTTTTATAAACACACCAACCGCAATTAATTATTTTTACGAGGGTTTGCAACAACAGAGGTCATTTCAACTCTAGGGGTGTCGGTATTTTCGAAAAAAAGGAAGAAAAAAAAGGACTAGAGTGATAGTAGTTACTACTAGTAGTTATATGTATAGGCTACGAACAACAGGAACGATCCTGTGAAGTATTACCAGGAACGAGAAAATGGAAGAAAACTCTTGGAGGAAAAGCCCGGGCCTGAAGGATACCCACGGTAGCTGTTAACAAAACATAAGGAAGTTTATTGATTTTATCTTTCCTTTTCTACTTATATTTTCGATATTTACCCCTATTAAACATATAATTAATTAAATTAAATTAACGGTTATGTAAGTGATTAATTAATGACACATGTAGACTGGAGCGACTTTTTATCTTCTCGAATATATTATATTAATAATTAATTAGTATCGGATTTGATTTATTTAAAATTATTTAGATCAAGTGTATATTAAATTTAATAATCCGGTTAGAAAATAATGCAAATTTCTTAATGGGGCAAAGAGTTCTAAATACGTTGTAATTACGGCCTAAACATTCCAATTCGTCAAAAAGTCAAAAATTGAATTTTCGAAAAAATAGGTAGCTTAATGAATTATAATGTGAAACTTTTAAAGAAACTCACCAATCTTTATTTTCTAGCCAGGATAATGATATGAATGATATTGATATTGGGTAATTAACAATTCAGTTTGATCTCACAGATCCGGTTTGGTCCGTCTGTTCTCGATGTTTTTTGGTCACAGTGTGACAAAATTGCACATTTCACCAATTATCAACAATTAATCTAAACCTGCTCAGTTCATTTTCATATTCAGTGAAGTTTTTATTTGATTTTTTTTATCAGATCATCGAAACCAATCAAAATATTAGATTTCCACAACAAAAATTAAGATTTGGCCGGACAAATGGGCTCATCGCTAGACAGTATTTCTCGTTCTCTTCTTAGGAAGCAGGTCCGTATGGTAAAGGATAATCCTACAATCCTACCAAATGACCCCTCGGCGTAAGTCAGCCCTTAGAATTTTAATGGGCGTTCATTTGGCTTTCGCCATCGCCAAGGACAGGGCGCCTAGGTTTGTCAAAAGGATGGCTTAACGACTTTGCGGGTCCTCAATGAAAAATCTTGGAAGCGTATGAAAAGATATTCACTTACCCATGGCCCCTTAGGTAAGCCTATTTTTTCCTGCAAAACATAAATAAACCCAGCATTTTCATCCTCAACAAGCATCCCTACACCTTTGCTGTTATTTACGTTTTAATATTTTTGATTAAAATCATTCTGAGTTTTTGCCTGCAGGGAGTACCTCTGATACACTCCTTCATTAAAAACATAAACCCCGCTTACTTTTCTTTTAAATCGATAAACATCTTATTTCTCGTAGTAAAAGGACTTGTTTTAACCATGGTATATGCTATATGATTGAAATTGATCATTTAATTGTCAAAATGTCATATGAGGAAACATCACACATTGTTTCTATATTCAACGTAAAATACCTATGACACAACATTTTTCATTATGAAATCTTTCGTTTTTAGCGACCCAAGATGATATTGGCATTTTTTGACACAACTCGAACAAACTAATTCAAATATATTTACCTTTATGTTAAACTGAGGCGCTTCCAATGTCCAAATATCAAACGCGTCCTATCACGGCCTTATTAGGGCCCATCCGCTTTTTAACCCGGTCCTTCCTTTTCAGAAAGGGAGGGAGTGGGTGTGGGCAACTTTGATTTCCAACCGGTTCCGCCAAAGTGAGTGGAACGTCAAATAAAAAGTTTTTTGGCGAACATCATCAAACTCGAAACTTCTGTATCGGCGACCCCTAAAACATGTAAACATAAAATGTAAGAAAACGTAAATAAACTGTTTTGCAGATAATCAAACAGTAGATAATTCGGACATAATCTTCAGGATAGTTAAATCACTGAAAAATTATTCAATTATGAAAATCTCCTATATATTATTGAATAATATATAAAACAGGGACGTCGGTGGCCATGAGGTGCGGTCTGCTGTGCCGTAGGTTTTAGAAAAACATTTTCTTTATCGTGCTAATGTTTCGTTCTTTATTGAGATCATCTTCAGGGCTCAAAGTGTTTGTTTTCTGGGTAGATGTGGCACTATTGTGGGTCGTATTGAGAGTGCTATTATTATTATGCTATATTATTGCTATCGTTAATTCAGTTTGCTTGAAAGATCACGGATGCGAAGTGGCATGTGGTATGCTTTCTAAATGTAAATTATGATGGTTTACTAGTTTCAGCAATTCAATTCAGCTCAAAATTCAAAAATCTACTGTAGATATAGTAATAGTGCCCCTAAATTTATTGAAGAATGTTTTAATGTGCAATGGGATGAGCTGCTATTATCCAGGGGTCATTTATTGCCGCTTGGTGGCCTGGCAACCTCAGTGAACTCAGGAAAAAATCCCGAACAACAAATTCCCCTTAGCAGAGATTGTTTCTCAGATAGTTCTAGTTTAAACCGCCTAAGCAAAGAGGCACCGAGTACCAAAGGATGCCCGCAGCAATGATCGCCAGAACGAACGGGCTGGAGTTAAGCCCGGACGCAACCTTTACTGGATTTGGCTATTATAATTTATCTGGACACGTAAAGATTGAAAAAAAGGCGATAGGTTGAAACACCTCAGGGTTATCAGAGGTTGAGATACCTACATATGAAGCATATTCACAAGAAGAACCGGCCATTTGTTAATGCGTTGTCCAGAGCTCTAGGGGTTTGTTTGAGAGGTGTTTAAAGTTAATTCTCCTGAAGATTTTCAAAGGACCTAAACGTACATCATACGATACATCAAAGGATCTCACACAACGAGCCTGCTTGATTGCAGGCGTGGAGCCAATTTTTTCCCAGAATCTGGTTCGGATATATAAAGTGCAGGGCGGGTTGAACATGAACTGAACTGAATACTAGGGAGACAGTGTGCGAGCTTGGGTATGTATGACCTACGACTTTAAAAGTAATGATTTCTTGCGATGTCTTAGATATATGAGTAAAAAAATATTCAGTGATGAGGGTGTGTGTGCGTGTGCGTGCGCGCGCGCGAGTGTGTGTGTGTGTGTGTGTGTAAGTCTGTGTCTGTGATAGCTAGAGATGGATATATAGGTAGAGAGATGATAGTAAGAGAAGAGAATAGATAGATAGATAGATCGATAGACAGATAGATACATGGAAAGATAGATAGATAGGTAGATAGATAAATAGATAGAGAAATAGATAGAGAGATAGATAGATAGAGAGAGAGAGAGAGAGAGAGAGAGAGAGAGAGAGAGAGAGAGAGAGAGAGAGAAAGAGGAATATCTACTCTGTATCATTTGGTAAATTTTATTTACGGATAAGTGTTGTGTATATATGTCTTTTCTTGTGAGTTCGCAAGTGGTGTGGGTGTGAGAGTCTGCGTCTGTGTTGTGCTTGAAAGAAAAGGATTCACAGATATATACATAGAATATATACATAGAAAGATACATATATATTAATAATAGATTAGATACCTAGATAGATATAATTGCATAGTGGCAACGAAAAGGTTGACAATGTTGGGCAAAAAGGGGACTACTCTCTGGGTCCTGAACTGTGGCTTTGCATCCCGCTACAAAAGAGGATACATCTTAAAATGATCCTTAATGAGTTGAAAACCTGGTGGAAGGACCATCCGCAAAACTTACAAAATAATTACTGGAAGGCAATTGCAACAGAACCAGGATTCTAGTTGGACTCCTGTCAGGGCAGCTTTCCCAAATACTCGGTCGTCCTTAAAAGGACGTATCTTTAACGTCCCTACCTGGCTCATGGGCTTACCGGACGTTTTGATTCTGAAGATGAGAGATCAAGACTGACTGGGAGTTACAGCCGCAAGCGTTGGTGTAGAAGCTGTCCCAGCCCCGAGGGTCCAAGATGAACCCCATTCCCCGCTTGCCCATTCCGAGTGGTCGGGTCTGCATTGAGCATCAGATCGTATGCCGCGCGTAAAGGGCTACCCAAGAATGCTGGAATGCATCAGTCTGGTATCTCACGCACTCCCTAGATAGAGAATGCCACTCTATCTACCAGAATATTGGGACTCCTCCAGCATAAGAACTTCCGGATCCGCTCCGGCCGCGGTTTTGTTTAAAGTGGAATTGCTAACCATCCCCTAGAGGAGGCTGCCTTCGGTAAAGGACGCCATTCGTGTAGGCACCACCGACCACTATCCGTTCCCATCCGCCACTTCTCACGCATTCGAGGGACTCCGTCAGCGAAGTCTGAGCGTCCTCAACGCTATACTCTTCGATGGTCCGATCCTTCGTCTCCCGCGAGGCCGGGGTTGTAACGAAGGTCATACATAATTGCTTGGGCGGAGATCACAAATAACCTGAAGCTGGCCAGTGAGTTATAAATAACAGGGGAGCACAAGATCGATTCAGGTCGAGGTGCAGTAGGCCTTGTGGCCGCCTCTTTTATCCCTATATATAGGGATAGATAGATAGCAACAGTCCGACATAGATTGATCGAGGGAAAGAGAGATGGACACCTATCCTCCTGTGATAGATTTATTTAAAACCACTAACAATTTATTTAATCACATATGGACTATTTTTTTACACTTCGTAATTCCAAATTTGACCAACTCTGATTGATAATCTAGTTTTTAAAACGAGTTAGAGTGCCAAATGAAAACCGATTGATGACAACACAGTTGAAAAACACGTTTTGATCTCTTAATAACACACTGGGCAAAGTTCGGCTTTTTGGATCCGGCATGAGAAGAAAAAGGGCCGTTAGCGGGGACCATTTTTGGCGCAGACCCCGTCTATTTATCTCCCTCTCCCCGTCCCGAGTGCTTAATATGGTAGATTTAAAACAGTCCGCATACCTCCAGATGAGAGATTAGGACCCGAAAACGGGTCCAATTTAGTGTCGGTTCGGAAAAAAGGCAAACATCATTAAATCAATAGGATGCCCGGGCAACGGGTTCCCCTCCGATCGAGATTTCACCGGGTTTTATGCCCAAAATGGGCCGTGAAATCAACTTTGATTTCAATCTGCTTTTCAACTCTGGTCAACAGGGAAAAGGATGTTAAAGCGATACAGGCAAATTCTAATAAAGCAACACTACTTAAAAAAATGTAAAATATTGAAAAATCTAAACTCAAATCATGTAAGTTCTCTCGAAGCACAATAATTGTCTGATTACGTTCTCTCAAATGAACAAACATTATTAATGTTACCTTTCACTCATTTGACGATTTATTTTCTTAAATTTTGTAAAATAATGGAAAATAAAATAGATTGAAAAAGTGATGAATCTGACAGAAAATTACTTAAGTTGCAAGTAATTAATCACAGTTTAATAAATATTTTAAATTGGGAAATAGTATGCTACATTTTTCATAACACTTTATATTTAATAACTGACATCGGTAGTTCTTTTCGCCCAATGAAATTTGTAAAAACATTTAAAATTCTGTTTTCGGAGATTTTTTCCTACCAGTTTGCCTTAATCACAAATAATGATTAAAGACCACACGCAATATATTATAATGAGGTCGTTGCTTGTTTTTTTTTATTAAATAACCATCTCATTAGGTCAAATGGGCAACCACAAATGACTTTTTCTGACCACTCATTAAGGCGGTTTTATCGTGTATAAGACTTTAATTCTTACATACGAATTACTTTTTTTTGGCGGGCAAATTAGGTTTAGCTTAATTGCGGACGAAAAATGTTTTCCCGCCTATTAACTTAAATGGCGATGTTTTGCTGAAATTAACATCCAAGTAGTTCTTACATTCATATGCTCAAGCATTAGTGTAATTGACATGTTTTTGTACCAAAGTGTTGGTATGTTGCTTGTTTCATTACTAAAGAACTACTAATGGTAAAAAAACGCTGACATTTTTAATACTGACTTGGTGGGCTAATAAATTTTAAAGCCGTATGTTTTTTAAATTAGTAATAAATAATTTTTCATAAATGTAATGATAATTTCAATTAACGTCGATATATAATCCATGGTTTAAGAGAGATTATGGCATTCGCATAAAATACAATTTATCACACCATATTTTATTATTTAATTTGCTTGAAACAGAGGGAGGATAAGGTTCAAATCCCTTTTTCTAAAACTGCGTAGAATGGAATAAATTATACATATATATTATTGTGATGGTTCTTCACCAAAAGCTACGAATAAACATTGTGCACTTATAGAAATGTACCCTCACGATTTTTTCTTAAGTATTAAATTCTCTTACTTAGATACCCCTATTATTTATAGTTGGCGCAAAAACGTTAACGGCCATCATTCGTTCGGATAAAAAGACTGGACAATCGGACGATTTTTTAACAATAAATTAGCCTGCCAAATGATCAATTGCAAATATGTAAAAAACATACTGAAATACAACAGTTAAATAAACGAAAAGGAACTGGACAAACAATTGTCTTTAGTAGGTTTGATAAAACACTCGAATTTTGACGGAGTTTTTGAGTATGAGTTTGAATTTTAATTATTACGCCGAATTGTGCATTATACCTTTTGACAGAAGAGAACGTCTTTGAAATATATCAAAAGTTAAACCTTAATATAATTTTATTTTACAATGGTCCACTTGATTCTTCTTCTTCTTCGAGGGATGTTGCCTTTTCATCTTTTTCATATATCTATAAAGAAAAGCCCTCGTTTTTCTTACTTACATCTTTATTTCCGTCCTGCGAACAACATATTTTCCTGCTGTTTGGAAGTTTCACCGTAACTCTTTTATATAAACTAACCAAACCTTTCAATCTTCATTCATTCTTCATCCTACCGCCATGTAAGTCTAA